TTCCCAGAAATCCCCAGCCAGCATGGCTGGCTGGGGATTTCTGGGAATTGAAGTCCACACATCTTCAAGTGGCCGAGATTGAGAAACACTGCTTTAACCACTAAACTAGAGTAGATATCACATTGGCAATCTTTGGAACATTTTTTCTCAAAATAGGCATTTCCAGCAGTGTTTATCCAGTGTTTAATTTCTGTACATCTGTTTTGTTTCAGAACAACAACTCTCCCTGTATTATTTCATTCTGGCCATTTTTTTTAGGTTTTTTTTTTTTTTAAGAAATGCCAGCAAATCTGTCATTCTCTCAGGGCGTATAACTCATCAAGCTCCCCTCTGTGTACTGTTTTTTCCATGCTGCTACTCCAAATATATGCTTTTTCCTACCCAATTTGCCCAACATACAATCCATTTAAACTCAAGTAGCTCTACTATCTCTGTGTTTTGGGTTTTGTGTGTATCTTCTGTTTTGTACCTGTTACCTTGCTGGTTGAGGACCGCAGTAACGTTTGATTTGTACCTATTCTTCTAATTGGGTATGAGCCCCCGCTTGGCTTCCATTATTTTTGGACAGGGCTAGGCAGGATTCCCATTAGTGCCCTCTTTCAGAGTCATCCAACCCTTGTTCTGCCAAAGTGATGGCTTTACATGGTCTGCACAAATCCTGGGTGACAGTAGGAGATGCTATCAATGACTAGTGGGGAAATGGCTTGCAGAGAGAAATTGCGGGGGGCTGAATGGAGAATTGTGGGGGGCATATTCAGTCCAGAGGCAGGAACGTTTCCATACCTTGTCTGGCTTCTGCCTCCAGCATTGTCATATCTCCTTTAAGGAGACTCAAGAAGGGCAGAGAAGAAAGCTGAAAGCTAAAAGTGAGGAACTGACAGTGACTGATGAGTAAGACCATGGTGGTGCTGAGATTTAATTCTCCCTTTTAAAATGTAGCTCAGAGACGCCACAAACATGAGTACCAGAGAGGTAGAACTGGCTGTGATTTGAAGCCAGGTCACAATGCAATTTTTCCTTAGATATGCACCTACGCCACTTCTTGCGCATATTTAAGGACATGAAGTTTACTCAGGAAACAGTCATATCTATGTACCTTCACCTGAAAGCCAAGACTGATAAAACATTCACCTTCTCTAATCCTCCCAGTTTAACAGGGGAAAGATCCTGTTCTCTGATCTTGTTCTTGTTTTTAATTTGGCCTTTGGAGCATCCTTACCACAACTGTGAACTTAAGTGCTAAGACCCACATTTATCAAAGTCCAGCCCACTCACCTTTCTAAGGCAAGAGTAGGAAACCATTTGGTGGCAGATGGCCAAATTCAATATTTCTGAGGGTACAAATGATGAGACAATAACCCTGGGTTGGTGAGAAGAAGGTGTCCTGAGATGGACACATTCTTTGGTACCTTCAGAGTAGCCCGGGGGTTGGGATGGGGTGAAACTGAGATTCTTTTTTTAAAGTTTTCTGGAATACTGTAAATCATACTATTCTGTTCTGAAATGAGCTAAAAGGAACTTAATTTTGCTTTTCTCTCTTGCCTATTGTGTACCCTGATAATAGGAGCAGCTAGCTAAACAGGGTCAGATCTGCTCAGTACCTGGATGGTGTTTTCAGTTACACAGAGGCAGGTACTACAGGACCAGTTTCATCCTTATTGGGAATCATGAGAAGTAGGTAGCCAGATGTTATTTGATGGGGTTCAAGCCCCCACTAGGAACTGTACTCATGGATCTTGGTACTCAATGGCATTGTAGGAGGGGATATATTGAAGCTCTCAGAATGGTACAGTATATACCGTCCACCTTCCCTTAAGTTCTCAGAGCAGAGAGATACAGATGTGACATTACGTCATGCCCCCATGCAGCGGTTTTTACATGACTCCCACCTCCTCTTGGATATACACTGTCTAAAAACAGAGAAAGGTTTCCCTTTCCCTCCAAAACCCCATACATGGGAGCATGACATAATGTCACATCTGTATCTCTCTGCTATGAGAGCTTAAGGAAAGGTAGACTCTATAAACCATTCTGATAAGTACTTGGGGGGGGGGCATCCACAAGTCTACAGTAATCTAGACTGGGACACTTTAAAAAGTCCCAGAAGAAAGCAGTGGTAAACCCCTCTCTTGGCAATGAGAACTTTATGGATCTCAGCATGTTACATGTACCAGCTGCTGTGCTCATCTCAAGACAGACTTTAATTTTATTGGCTATTATAGAAAATCAGGTGTGTGTGTGTTTAATGATTCCTATAATCTCTACAGGAGTCAGTGAGCAAAGCATCTACAGAAAAAAATACTCAGGAAATGGATCCTTTACATTTGCAGGGGAACTCTTGGATAATGAGTTTGGGGTGGTTCGTGCATGCTAATCCCTAAATCTGGGTTAACCAAATACTCTTGCTGGGTTGATATAACATGTGCCCAAATAAACCCCTGGCTTAAACCTGGATTAAACAACATGCTAAGAATATCCATGGCTGAACCCCAATTGATCCAACCCTATTTTAAGTTTGCTTAGTGTGTTGTGCAATGCGATAAGCATAGAGATCTTATAAGTAGGACTGTACACAGCTGGCCTTTCAAGCATGAACTGCTATGGGCAAAGAAATGGGGGGGGGGGGCTGCGCTACCCCTGAAATTAGCCATGAGGAAAATAAAAATCTCAGCGTTTTGCTCAGGAGGAAGAATGTCTTTGAGACTTTTTAGTGAACTCTAAACCAGCATCTGTGCATGACCGCATGAGATACATTTTTCCCGGTCAAACCTAGACTTATTCAACAAACCTCGATTTGCAGGTCTGTAATGTGTAAAATGGCTCAGGTATTAAATAGCCCTCCAAGAGGGGGGGGGGAGTACTTAAATGAAGGCTCAGGGCAAATCTTCTCTCCTAACGATGCTCTGGGTAATTAGCAGAGTGATGAATCCTACTCAAATATTATTTCATTTACCTACTTACTCTGATAAGTTAAGGTAGCCTTTGTGCTACAGCATAACTTGACTCCAATGAAGTTTGCAGGAGAAGCCCCTCCAGCGCTCTGCATTACTGAGAGCAAGTCAGTGAGAAGCTGCTTCTATCTCCTGCAACTTTCTTTTTTTCCAAGAAAAATCCTTCCAAAGGATGCAGCTTCGATCGGCTTCCACTTAATGTTTTAATCTCGAGAATCCAGATTTGGAATGGGGGAGCTTACCAAAATCTCTTGGGGAAGCCAGGAGCCTCACTGAAGCTCAGCTATACAATGGGAGCAATCTTTGTTCTTCAAGCCTTATAAGGAAGACAAGCAGTTAGTGATTGCATAAGGGACTTAAATCAATGAAAAAGTTGGTGATGTAATCTCTCTGGGGCCCAAAGGTAGCCAGGAACTCCAGGGCAAAGAGAAAGAAAGTGAAAACAGGTTGCTGGGGAGATTCAACAAACATAAATTATTTAATATCTGAACTCAGATGCATCTGGGCTAGTGCCCCTTAACAGTACGCCATGAAATTTACTTTGCATATGCTCAGAGTTACCCTCATCTTAATTTTCACAGGATTTGAAGGCTGGCATTAGAAAAAGTTTCTGAAAATTGTCCCATTGAAACTTACTTTAAAGAAGACTTACTAGTCTTTCACTTTACACCCATCATCTGTTAAAATGAACAAAAAGATATTTCCTTTGGTTACAAAAAAGTTTTCTGTTCTGGAACATCCCTATCTAATGACATTTTGATCTGGCATTTCAAAGGGAAGAAATTTTAGGAAATTCAAAACCAACTTTAATTGCCAAATAAAGCATTGCAAAGCAAGAGCAATTTATAGCAACCTTATAATTTATTTGTTCCACAATGTAGCATATGCAATAAATTAATGCCCATTACTACAGCATCATCCACAGAGCTTATCACTTGTTAAGTTCATTACAGCATTGTCACTACGGCAGAAAAAGTTAAAAAAAAAAAAAATGAACGTGGTGTCTTAAAGAGTCTTTCATAGTTCATTTAATTCAGGAAGAAGCTTATTTAAAAAAAAAAAAAAGTTTGTGCAACTCATGTTAAGAAACAGAACAGAAACAGGATTGCTTCACACTGTCCTGGAAAAAGTTCTCGCTCAGGGGAATATCTGACAGACATGCAGACAAGGCACATTTCTTCTGGTGCATTTTTGGCAAACGCAAATGGATAAACGCTGGTTGTTTTCTGGTCCCCTGTGATCCCGACAGCCAGAGCAAAGAACCTGACACAGGCTTTACACAGTCAATAAACGAGTGTCTGGAAAAACTGTCAGACAGCAGACAGTTTAGTCAAGAGGAAAATCACAGAGTCTCTTGTCCATCCACGCTGCCAGAAAAAGTTGCAGCTGTCTGCTCCTCCGCTTTTCCACCCTTCTGGCTCAGGATCTGCTGCCTTCATTGTTGGGTGAGTGACTTCCTTGGTTCTCTTTTGATTGTGCAAGTTGGAGCCGGCAGAGGAAGTGCACAGTCGGTGGGGATTGAACACCCATGGCCGATATGTCCAAGCATCCTTCATCTCGTGCCAGGCACTGGAGATGCTCATGTGCGAAAACGATGATTCTGGCTGAAGAGCTGTGCTCTTTTTTCATCGCATCCTTGTGTTTGTGGCTGCTCAGTGGACTTTGATGGAATGTTTCCCGAACTTCAGGAACTGGAAGAGTTTCTCGCGGGTCCTCTGCTTCAGAGCCATGAGCGATCTCGCTTTCTCCTCCAGATCCTGGTCAGTGGCCAAGATGATCTTAGCCCTTTCCTCTGCTTTCCTGTCCCCCGAGTTCTTAAAGAGCTTCTCCAGAGCCTCTTGATCCAGGTTCTCAAAGATGTTGGCCACAGCTTTCTTACGCAAGGCGGTGTCGAAGCGATAGCCGTGGACGGACGGGCTCACCCTCAAGGAGGTCGACATGCTGGCTGGTCACCGGCGTGCTCCACACTACTTCCAGTGATGTCAGATGCAGCGGTGCTGGCCTTGCGAGTTTATTGCCCGGGGAACCCGTAGAGAACTCCTGGGGACGGCACTGCTATTTAAAGGCGGCAGAAAACTGATGTGAAAGCTCAGGTTACAAGGATGACATCACGCGGAGTTCAACATCCGGTAATCAAAGGCCGAGTTAACAACTGAACTGCCAGTTTTCTCCTCTCCCCACTTCCGCAGCGAAACAGGACAGGAGAAATGTTGCTGCTTATCAAGCAAACAGATCTGCTTTGGTGGGTTTATGAAAGGCATGTAAAAGAAAGAAAGAGAGAAGCTAGGAGGGACAGAAGTTTCCAAACCAATCTTTTATCTGAATCTCAGTCATTAGGCAAAATACATTGCTACTCTGGTTAAAATTAAGGGATGGGGGAACAGTCTATTTGTCTGGCTGGTATCACTTTTGCATGCTTTGATGTTTGATTTAAATATAAAATGCATGAGGACTCACCTTTAGATATGCATTTTAAAACGCCTTTTCTCTCCAAATGTGGATTTTTAAAACACGTTTTCAATCAAAACTTCTGTTTGTAAACAGAGGTCGAGTATGATCAGGCAAGAGGGGTCTCAAAACACTCAGGAGGGATGGAAGTCAAGAAATAGCTAATGTTCACTTGTGCCTGGGTCCAAGGAACTTCAGATCTCTGCCTCTCCTGGAAAGATCAAAGAGTGAATTTTTCCAGCACCCCTAATTCAAATCCAGTGATCCTCTTGGATTCCATGTCCTTCAACTCCACTGTAAATATCACTCATTCACCACAGAGTTCCGATGCAGCATTCCCATTTTGCTGTCCTAAGTTGTGTCGGGACTACAGTTTCCAGAATTCTCAGCCAGCATGCTGGGAACTATAGTCCCAACATAAGCAGAGGGCAGCTGGTTGAAAAAGGCTGGGATCCACCAATTCCCCAAATGCTTTCCACCAAGCTGAGCTTTCTTGCACCAAGCTTCTGATGGCAATCAGCGCTACGAGGAATGCCATTTTGAGCACAAGAGGTTGCTTTCCCTTGAATGTTTCTGTTTTTTATTTTTTTTTAAGAAACAAGGTTTTTCTCTCTGTCTCATTACCAGATGCTCAACAAAAGACTCCTCTTGTCGCTTTAATTAAAATTTTTAGCGTCAGATGACAAGCGCTGTTTTTTCCTTTCCTGGAAATGGAAAGTACGCTCAAAATCTTTTTATTTATCTATTTATTTTTATTGCTTTTAAAATTATAATAGGAAAAAAGGAACAAAACCCAAAGATCATCGTAAGAGAAATACATACATTGTCAAAGGAAAAAAAACACATAACGAGTGCTTTAAAAAAAGGTGAAAAAAATACAACAGAAAAAAGAAAAAACAAAGCACAATATATACTTTGTAAACAGTTTTAATTGTATATATACTTATCCAATGCAACTTTTTTTGACCTACTGTATTTTGTATAAATGAGCCCATATTTGTCCGTACAAAGTCTACGTTTCTGGGCAATCTGCTTCTAAGTGGCAGATGCAATCAGGTCTTCAATCCATGGACTAAATGGATTTATACATTTATACATTTATCTTTCTAATGCTGCAGTATCAGTCTTTTGGCCATTGTAAGGACACGGAGAATCCATTTACATTGTTCAGATGTCAAATTCCATGTAGTAGGTATATAGTTCTAAAGAAGATTATCCTCTGAAAAGTTTAGCTTTTATTGCACAGTCACATTGATATAGTCCACTACTTCCTCCCCAAACTTAGTAATTATAGGATATTGTAAAAACATGTATTTTAAAGAAGCATTATCCTTTTTACATCTCCAACAAAATACTGTCTTAGACAGTCCTTTTCTATACAAACGTAATGGAGTTCAGTAAAGTCTAAATATTATTTTTTGCTGTATAAGTCGTAGTTAGTATGCTCAAAGTCTTGCCAAAGCAAAAGAACCAGAAAGGTGGGACATCTGTGGCACAGAGACACCCCTTCAGCCACGTCTCAGTAATGGCTGCTGTTGAGAAACCCTGTCATGCTATCCTGGGATCATAAAGGCAGGGTTCACAAAACATACCCAGCCATAAACCTGTTTTATGAGCTATAGTGGCCAAGTTCACAAACACACTAAGCTTCGAGCAAGTATGCCCATTTATGGCTTAGCATAATGTCAGTACCCAGCCAAAACACCCAACTTCTCCAACCTGGCACTTCCAGATGGATTGGACTACAGTCCCCATCATTCCTTTAGCGAAAGCATAGAGAAGAAAGTTATAGGCTAGCCAATGTGGAACCCTCCAGATGCACTAGACAGGACCTTCCATGAAGCCAATGGTTGGGAGCGATGGGAATGGCAGTCCCATCACTCTGCAAGTAACCAGGGCTAGAGAAAGCTGCAATGGGACTCTGCAAAGACTGAGGCCTGCAAGTCATTTGACATGGAAATGCTAGTCATTTTTGGACCAGTCCCTTGCTGTTACCATTAACTCTCACCATGCATGATGTAAAATGCCAAAAAAAAAAAAATTTGTAATAAAGCTCAAAAGAGAAACAAGTGAGCAGCAAATGAATAATTCAGAATAATTGTGCTGGTTCCCTCTCTGGCACTGCTTGCTGAAATGAACATGGCTTTAAAGAGTGGGGAAGAGGGATTGTTGTGACTTGCTAAGGTAAATTCAGCTTCTACCTATAATCCTCCCATTTACCTTTTTCTTTGCTTTTCCTAAAGCCTTGTGGGTGACCTTCTAGAGATGGAAACAACTTTCTTTGGAGCCTTTTAAACCTCTAGGCCTAACATATTTCTTAGGTTATATCACCGTCAAGAGTTTAATTCAGTGTTTCTCAACCTTGGCCACTTTAAGATGTGTGCACTTCAACTCCCAGAATTCCCCAGCCAGCCTTGCTGGCTGGGGAATTCT